AAGGGTTACAGAGGAGCACTCTTTTATATTTCACGCTTGGCTGCCGAAATTCTCGTGAGACTATTCTCCTGGGGAGGAGTTGGCAACTGAAGTTGAAAGGCAAAGACTCTTCCGATCACACGAGCAATTATTTTATGAGAAAAGCAAGCCAAGCGAAGAAAAATAATAAAAACAGGGGAGCAACTTTAAGAGAAGCCCTGCCTGGCAATTGGGCAACCACTTTTGACTTGACTTGGTCTGGCGGCAAAACTTTTGTCAGCTGTTTGTAATTTAAATGTGAAAAGTTACACACAGAGTCAGAGTCTGGGGAGGCTTGGGAAGTCAACTGGAAACGGAGCAGCTTCAATGCGCTTGCGCGAAAGGGTTACTCGAAGAAGGTTGGGCAAGTCAAAGAAAGCCATTCATATCAAGGGTGGACCCTGTTGCATGGTGAATAATACATTTCAGAAAATTATATAAAATATTTTAAAATATTAAAGAGAGCTCTTAGTTTGATTTTGTTCCCATAAGTATGGTTTATTAGTTTAAAACCTAAACCCTTGATGACACTACCATTATATCCACCACTCTCGGCCCTAACTCAGGTCGAGTGTGAGTTGCAGAATATCTTATTACTGGAGTTCACATATGTGCTGCTCACAAAGGCGTGACATGAAGTCATGCTCCTCATACCTTGCCGTTGGTAACTACTACTCAGGGCTCCGGGCTCCGATCAAATCGGATGGATAGAGGGGGAAATTACTTCCCGTGGGCGTGTGGGAATGGAGTGGCTTCACCGCTTTGTCTCTGGTTCTGTTTCTGATTCAGTTTCTGCCTCGGAATTGTCGCAGCTAATTTTATGCTGCACACACGCTGAGAGTGGCAACGAAAAAAATATAAAGGAAAATAACTTCAACTTCAACGGCGGGTGTTGGGTTCAGTGCGCACAAATTGGGTCACACACCAAGGCAACGACTTCAACTCCATTGTCGCTCTGCTGGGCAATTAAAATCTATTTATACCCCAAAACCGCAAAATAATATATATGATTTTTTATTAATTAGTGAATCTTGAAAATCAATCAAGTGGCTTGCATAATTTAAAGTCATTTTTGGCCAACGATGCCTTTCGCTTTCAGGTATTCGGTTTTACGTTTTGCTGGCCTTTTGTTCCGCTAATCGAATTGTCGCCAAACTGTAGCAACCGCAGTGTCTTGATTGCCTTATTTAGGCCGTGTTTGGTGTTCGATAAACCAAACACGAATATCAATGAGCCAGTTGCCAAAACGCCCCCCTGAAGTGTGTGAGAGCTGAGCTCACTAAGTGATCTCATACTCAGCCACTGCAGTGGCCTAAGCTCTTAAGAATTTTTTATTAAATTTGATGAGTTGTGAAGTTGGTTTTAATGCCCATTTTAACACATATTTTGTTCTGGTATATGGCTCTCTAGCGATAAGAAAGTCCATGGGTCTATGTTAATTAAGTTTGTGAAAGCGTTTCAAACATAACATTTCGTGCTCAGGTCGACTCACGCAAACGTGTCAAGAATTTTGAATTTTAAGATCGCTTTTTAATAGTTCCCCGAGTTCATAGCAGCTGGAGCTTAAATCATTAAAAATTTTAGGTCTTGGCTAAAGTTCTGTTAGAATCAAGAGTTCAGATTAAGAGTTGCCTCAATTCTTTCCTTTTATTCCAAAGACACACATCCTGCCACAATTTGACACTCACTCTTGACTTCACTTGACATTTGTGATTTATGCGATTTTGATTTAAGCTCTTCAATCTCGAGCCTCGAGACTGACTTGTGATTTTTTTTCAACTTTTTTGTATCACCCTTGGAGACAGACATAAATCATGCGGGCGAGTGGGTTGCATTTGGGGACTTGGAATAAATAAAGTTCTTCTCTGCCAGAGTCTACCTCACGTGCGTAGCCAACACACACATATATCAATCACTCCAGAACTCACATGTGTCACACTTTTTTCTTCATTCTGTGCATTGCATAAAAAATTCACAAACAAAACTCGAAAAGAAAAAAATATTAATATTAACAGTTGGCAAGCCATTGCAGTGGCTCTGAAACCCCTACTGATTACATCCTTCCCCCCGAGCTTGATGTTTCGCCCCTTTTTTTTAGGTGCCCGTTTCCTGGGCTTTTTTTCAATGTGAGAAAAGACGAGGGCGATGAATACGAAATGCACATTTTTAATGACGCCCGCCTGCACTTGAGGCTAACAAAAAAAAACAACAATATCAACAAGAGCCATAAAAACAACAAGGAAGCCCTGTTGACTTTGGCAACATCGCAGGATTTGGCCCATATGGGGGCTGAGGGCTGGGCGAGGGCCATGCAAATCTCTGGCCTTCGCCTTATGCAAATCGAGGGTTCAATGCGACAGAGATGACTCTCCTAGGCTCTCCACAAAGCCACACGCCCCCCAATACCCCACTAACCTCGAAATGATGCCCCAATACACTAAACAAAAATTTATCGAAATATTCTAGAACATTTAAGAGAAACTTCCTATAGTCTTCTTAATATTTTCCAGTGCATTTCGTGTCCCCACTTGAAGCTCTTGCCATATGGCAATAGTAGTTCCTCTTGCAACTTTGCCTTACTTTGGTTTGCCCTGGTCTCATATGTTCTCTATATTTTTATTTTTATATATATTTTTTTTTGCTTCAAGCTCGTAACACTTTTCCAACTCTTGTGGCTCGTGTATGCGCTGTTTGTAATCCGCTTAAGTTCCTCGAAATCGGCACATAAACATCATCATCAGCATTATGATTGTCATGAGATTGTTCGGAATGGGAATGATCGTCGTTGGCAGCCAGTTTCTTCATCTGTGAGTTCTTTGCGGAGCAAGTTCTACATTCGTCATGCTTTCCACTTTATTACATTTTAACTTTGGCATTTTCCGGTTTCTGTCTGGTTGTTCTTAATACTTAGAAGCAATGGCTTCCTAATTAGATCTCGTAGAACAAAAAGTAAATCAAAACCGAAACCAATTGCCAAAGTGGATATCTTGACGAAAATTAACTCAGGGCTCTAGTGGGGGAGTGAACTTTTTCCTTTCCTTATTAGATGAGTCACTGGGCTTTGTTGACCCAGCCAGTCTAATAGACAGCTTATCCATCTAACTATCTACCATTTTTGGGGTTGGGTCGTGGTCGTCCTCACCCACCCACCACACCCCATCCCTGACCATTTTCCTAATTTCCCATTTGCCATTTGAGCAAACATTCAAAAGGGCAACCGCCCTCGGCAAATGAAGCCAACTAAGCGTGTGACGTGACCAGCTAGCTATATCTGCAAGTATCGAGCCAGCTACCCAGCTAACCCACTCCACTTCAATAGCTCCAGTTTCCATTTAATTCCGACTGTCTAGGGTTACAACAAAATTTATTAATTTGCCTCAATTGCCACATTCGTTTTGTTTTGTCTGCCAAAAGGGAGTTGCAGTAGGAAACTGGCAGTGCATTTGCATATTTTGTTTTCGACCATTGTTTGGTTCACACGCTACAGATAACTAGATACATATATGTAGATACAAAGATACATAGATACCTAGATGACTGAGCGATGGATGTCAAAATCCATTGGATATGCACTCAAATGTCTGACAATGCAATTCATTAGCGGTGCAGTCAACTAACTGGAAACTCGGCTTGAATGGCACACAACGTAAATTTGAATAATCGGAATCGGTTAACCTTCAAGGCAGCCAAAGTGAATGTTTTCGATGCCAGAGCTTGTCAAACTTTCCAGTTGGCTCTTAGCCTTTTAGCCAACTTCCTTTCTGGCTCATTATTTCCAGCCATCCGAAGCAGTTGCAATTGGCAGCTGGCAGACTATTAAATCAAGGCACGAACCATCGATGAACCTTAACCCGCTCGCCTCGCCTCTCCGCCTCTCTGGCTCTTTAACCCTTGGGTACGTGCCAGGGGCCAGAGCCTCGCACCAAACACCCAGTGCCGAAAGTGCAACAAAAGAATCGCAGCTATGGAAAAACTGTTTGCAAATAAAACTAGAAAAAGAAAACTTTTTAATATGCTTGCTTGTTTAGGAGCCAAGGGGTTAAGCATGGGCTGGTATGGGTTAAATGGTGGCGAGGCTATGGAGGGGTGGTCTTGCATTTTCCGACTAGACAAAAGCTTCGAGTGGCGCCAGGAATTGAAAAGGAAATGGCTTAAATAGAGGGAAAGGACTTGAATGGAGGAGCACACTGAAAAAAAAACACACTCTTTTAGCGAAACTATGCACCCATATCCTATATTTTTCTCTCAGTGCATGTCAAATGAAAATGTTGGCTTAATGTTATCAAAAATTCAACCCAACGCTGCCTCTAACCTCGCTGGCACTCTTCCCCTCTCCCTGCAAGTCCATCACGTAATCCATGGGCACAGCCACGCCCTCTTTCCACCACCGCCCACCCATATACACACTGCCATATTTGTTTGGCGCTTTTGCAAATAGTTTGTGCCAACAAAATTGCAAAGGCATCGACAGCGGGCCGAGCTCCATGGCTTTGTAGCTGCACCACTGGGGCTGCACCAGTGCAGCACCACCCTGCTGCTCCGCGCAGAGCTCTGCCATTATCCAATCCATCCACATGGCTCGAGGCCGGAACATTTGCATACGACGATAGGAAATAGAGGGGCATCGAGGAGCAGGGTTTCACTGACGATAATTGCATGAAATTATAATGCAGCCATGCTGCAGAGTCGCAGAGCCTCCAGTGCTGCCTTGTCGGCGTGTGGGAGGCTCCACTGTGGCACCCACACGCCACCATAATCAGGCTAGAAAGAAAAAAATATAATACCCCAAAATTGGGTGGGTGCTGTGGCCGGGGCACTCGGATCTCTGACACACTCTTGACTGAACAATAATGCCAAATTTTGTTACCAACTGGGAAGAGTTTTTGGGGGGAAACTATAGCAGGATTTTACGGATAGTTCTCCTAACTAACTTGAACTAGAAAACCCAACACTAACTTGTATTTATTTTTTGTGTTTTCCAGAACCACCATCGCGGAAGCAACGCTAGTGAGGAGCGGGTACCCCAACCCCATTCGCCCCACGACAGCCACACCCACCCACACAACGGTGGCGGTCTGCAGCACTCCGGATCTCGGGCCACACTCCGCCACTCAATGAACCACTCCAGCAGCTCGACAGTGTCGGGCTCCGCCTGCAGCTCCACCCCCGCCTCCCCGCAGCTCAGCGGCGTGGTGAACTCCGCCGGAGTTCAGATGCTATCCAATGGCCACCACTACCAGTCCCAGTCGTCGGTGAGCTCCAACTCGTCGATCGTCTCGGCCATTCCCGCCTCGCAGAGACTCCTGGAGGAGGCGCTGGCCAAACCGGCACCCTATCCGATGATCCTGCTGCCCCTCCACGGTGGCTATTGGCTGGACGGGACCGAGCACGAGTGCGCCTACGATGCCAGGGGCAATCCTGTCCTTCCGCAGACCACCTGGATGGCCAAATTCGAGACGGACGACACGGCCAAGTGCTATCGACGGTTCTACGCGGCCAGGGAGCACTCGAATCTGGTGGGACAGGACGAGCAGCTGGGACCTGTTCTGATATCGATAAAAACGGAGAATGTGGCCAACCAGGAGCACATGCGGATCCTACTGAGATTACGCACTGGCACCATGCACGAACTAATACCCGTGTCCTGCCTGGGTGCCCAGCCGAGTCCGGCGAAAATGGTCCGTCTGCTGAACGAACAGATCCAGGTGGACAACTTCATGCCTGTCCTGTGCCCCAAGGCCTCGCAGCTCATCAGTGTCTACGATGAGCACGTTCTCGTCTCGCACTTCAAGTTCGGAGTGCTCTACCAAAGATATGGACAAACCACCGAGGAGGAGCTCTTTGGAAACCAACAAACATCGCCGGCATTCGATGAGTTTTTGGACGTTTTGGGCCAGAGGATTCGGCTGAAGGATCACAAGGGCTACAGGGGTGGACTGGACATACAGAATGGACACACTGGCGACACGGCCGTTTACGAGGTATTCAAGGAGCGTGAGATCATGTTCCATGTCTCCACCCTACTGCCCCACACCGAGGGCGATCCCCAGCAGCTGCAGCGTAAGCGACACATTGGCAACGACATCGTGGCCATTGTGTTCCAGGAGACCAACACTCCGTTTTCCCCGGATATGATTGCCAGTCACTTCCTGCACGCCTTCATCGTGGTGCAGCCCATTGAGCCCAACACCCCCCACGCCCGCTACAAGGTCAGTGTGACGGCCCGAGATGATGTGCCCTTCTTCGGGCCCACTCTTCCCAATCCGGCTGTGTTCCGCAAGGGCCAGGAGTTCAAGGAGTTCATCCTCACCAAGCTGATCAACGCAGAGAACGCCTGCTACAAGGCGGATAAGTTCGCCAAGTTGGAGCAGCGCACCCGGACCTCGTTGCTGCAGAACTTGGTAGAGGAGTTGCGGGAGAAGACCCGCGACTTCCTGGGCGCCGATCTTTCCCAGGCCACAGCCGGCAGTCCCACCCCCGAAACCCCCAAGGCCGAGAGTGGTGGTGGAAATGCCGGTTCGCGGTTCATCGACACCGTGAAGAAGGCTCTGATCATGAGGGTGCGTTCCCAGAGCGTCGACACGGGCAATTCCCATGGACCGGGCCACCAGGACAAGTTCAGTGTGAACACCAAACTGGGAACCCTCAATTCCAAGAAGGAGGCACAGCCCGAAATGCAGACACCCAACCTGAATGTAAGTTTTTAATTTTTATTTAAAAATTAAAATTTTCTACGATATTTTAATGAAAATTCGAAATATTTATTCCATTTTTTTATTCACTCCAAAAAGTCGGCAAGAATTGAAACCCATTGGACACTGATAAAAACGTTATTTGATAACTAAAAACGATTGTATATAGAAAAGATAATAATTTATTTGTAATAGAAAACCAACAAATTGGCAAAATAAAAAATTAAAACTAAAAAGACTTCTTGAAATACTTTAATACTCATTTGAATTTTAAAAGCATGTTTATTTCTATTTAAAGTAAAGCTTTATATTATTTCCAAAAATATTTTAAATTTATTCTTAATTGCGAAAAAGATAGCACAGCTTTCTCTTATTTTCAAATTTAAAAAATTGCTTTAAATAATTTTTCAATGGTTTTCAAAGCTGCTTTAAGTTTTGCTTCACAAATTCTAGCTTTAGAAGCTTTGTTAGAATATTAATACTTTTTTAACAATTTATTTATTGATCTTATTTAAATATTTGTTTTCCATACAGACCTGCAGCCGCACAGCCTCAAAGTCTTCTTCAAAGTCCAAATCCTCGAATGAATCCACCTCCTCATCCCCGGACATCACCTCTCGTCAGGCGAACAACAACAATATTAACAACACCAGCTCCAATGGCGGTCTATTGTCCCAGAATGGTACCGGCGTGGGCGTGGCTAACTCCGGCGTGAATGCCGCCCAAAATGGAGGCGTGGCCGTGGCCACCATGTCCGAAACCAGCGATGACTCCAGCCTGAACAGCGTGGATCTAGATCCAATGATGGCTCATCTGGATGGCGGAGCCACCTACATCGACAGTGACACCGGACTGGAGAGCATGAGCTCGGCGGAGGCCACCACCAAGGCGTGCTCTCTGTGCCTGGACGGAGTCCAGTCCACCATGATGGGCAGTTCCCCCAGCAACGAGACGATTGTGAAGATTGAGAATCTGCGCCAGGAGGTCACTAGGTTGAAGTGCGACAAACTGGACTTACTCAGGCAGAATGTGGTGAGTACTGGTAGCCCTTTAACTTTTAAATAGCTTAACTAATTAATATTTATTTTTTTATTCTAGACCTGCCAACGCGACATCAAGCGTCTTAGGGAGCGGGAACTCTCTCTCCAGGGCGACCTCTCGGCAGCTGGCAGGGAGATCCTGCGACTTAGGGACCTCCTGAAGGAGTACATGCCGGACACAGCCGCCGCACCACTCTCCATATCACAGATCTAAGCGTTAAACGCACAACCTTCGAGTAGCCGGATTAGGATTGGATATGAAAGCGGGTAGAAAGCAGGGAACCAGGAGCAACCACTGTGCCGTGTTTAACACTTTGAAGGGAAAAATGGATATATAGAGTAGGAGAGCAAGGATATGGAGAGTTGGGATAACCCCCAATGGAGCCCCAAAACAAAAAAAAAAACTGTATTATATTTAGTTTATGTAGCTGTAGAGATGATGGAGATCTGAAAGGATCTGAAAGGACAGCAGGTGGCAGCAGGCATGCGCGCATTGAACAAGTTATTAAATATTACGAATATTATGCAAGACAGTTACAAACTAAACTAAACAAACAGCAAAGGAAAACAGAACACACAACTCAAAAAAGTACACCAAATATATAATATAAGTCTTTAAGCATATTTAACGCAAGAATAACTAACGCCCGTAATTCCAGAACCCATCTATCCCCCCCACTTTCCACAAAACTTTAACCTTTAAGTAGAAAGCGATCAATCACAAAGCATCACACCAGATCGATATCGATATATATTATGATTATATAATCACCTAAAACACACAGACACAAATCACACAACAATTTAAAAAACGTAGCAAAGTTTTGAAGGTTTACAAAACCGTTACTCGTTCGTTAGTCGCACTCGTAAACTGTTACTGTTGTCGTGACTGTTACCGTGACTCTCGCTTCACAAACTTCATCCCCATAACTCGAAAATAACTAAATTATTATCAACATGATATGATTTTAAATTTAAAAATAACAAAAACAAACAAAAAACCAACGCTCTGAAAAAGGAATTAGAAGAAAAAAAAAGTTTAAAGAATATCAAGATAGAACTCGTAACCTTAAGATTAAGTTGCTTTAAATACTATTACCTAATTTCTATGTTAATTAATTATGTCTTAAGTTTAACCAAATGCAGAAACCACAACATCGATGAACTGATGACTCACGAGAATAATTTGCATGTCGCATTCAATGTACATATTATGTAGGAGCGTCGTATAATTCTCGATCCGCATCCGGATCTTTCGAAATTAACTATGACTATATTTTATTTTCTTAACCAATAACGATTATATCGATAACCACGCCACACAAGGCACTAGGAGGAGCGAAGTAAAACCAAGCAAGTAGTAGTTGGGAAAACAATTCCAAAAAGCAAAAGTTACAAATCACGCAAGCAAATTTTTGTCTTTGAAATCTATTCGATAAGTACTGCGAATAATTGTTTTTGTTGAGATGCATTATCATTTTTATTGTGTAAAGTATAAAAAACCAACAAATATATGCAAAATATATGGAATATATATAAACAAGCTTTACTATTTTTTTTAATCTTGGAAATTCTAGTGACGGAGCTTGGGGGAAGCTTTAGCTATTTTTCAGATCCATATTAACAATCTGGGTGGATAACAGAAGTTAGGATTGAGATTCAGAGTTCAGAGTATTCAGAGTATACTCTCATCGATTCAGAGTTCAAATTAATTCCAATCTGGGCTATGTATAATATAGGGCCATACAGGTTTTTCCCCAATAGGGCCCACAGTTATGGCTATGCCTTCCCCAATTCTCATCCGATTCTCAAGCGGAGTATCTTAAACGATTTCTGGATCGATTCGCCACCATTCTGCATCAAAATCCTGAGACAAAATATTTTTTAGATTTTTTGTCCATTTTTCGTAATGGGATCCCTTGAAAATGGGTTTTTCTCCCATAGGGCCCACAGCGATGGCTATATCTTTCCCAATTCTCATCCGATTCTCAAGCGGAGTACCTTAAACGATTTCTGGATCGATTCGCCACCATTCTGCATCAAAATCCTGAGACAAAATATTTTTTAGATTTTTTGTTCATTTTTCGTGATCCCTTGAAAATGGGTTTTTCTCCCATAGGGCCCACAGCGATGGCTATATCTTTCCCAATTCTCATCCGATTCTCAAGCGGAGTACCTTAAACGATTTCTGGATCGATTCGCCACCATTCTGCATCAAAATCCTGAGACAAAATATTTTTTAGATTTTTTGTTCATTTTTCGTGATCCCTTGAAAATGGGTTTTTCTCCCATAGGGCCCACAGCGATGGCTATATCTTTCCCAATTCTCATCCGATTCTCAAGCGGAGTACCTTAAACGATTTCTGGATCGATTCGCCACCATTCTGCATCAAAATCCTGAGACAAAATATTTTTTAGATTTTTTGTCCATTTTTTGTGATGGGTTCCCTTGAAAATGGGGTTTTCCCCTATAGGGCCCACCGTGATGGGTATATCTTCCCCAATTCTCATCCGATTCTCAAGCGGAGTACCTTAAACGATTTCTGGATCAATTCTCCACCATTCTGCATTAAAATCCTGAGACAAAATATTTTTTAGATTTTTTGTCCATTTTTTGCTGATGGGATCCTTGAAAATGGCGTTTTCCCCTATAGGGCCCACCGTGATGGCTATATCTTCCCCAATTCTCATCCTATTCTAAAGCGGAGTACTTTAAACGGTTTCTGGATCGATTCGCCACCATTCTGCATCAAAATCCTGAGGCAAAATATTTTTTAGATTTTCTGCCCATTTTTCGTGATGGGATCCCTTGAAAATGGGGTTTTCTCCAATAGGGCCCACAGCGATGTCTATATCTTCCCTAATTATCTTAGAAAATTTACAACAATTTTAAATGATAATTTAACTTTGTTTTAAATCAATTCTCTATTTATTGGTGAACATGTTAAAGCAGTGTATAAAATAGGAAAGCACTGCTTGATTGACATCATGTAGAAATACATATATGGTTCAAGACTTGGGACCCAGCCTGAATATAGCGGTCTATTTATTAAACTTTTGATACTTTTCGAAGCTGAAAACAAAAACAAACTAATTCACATGGCCTAAAAAATAATTTCTATCAAATTGAATGGATTTTAGAGTTTTTTAAACAAAAATAAAAATATTGCTTCCATGTTCCAGGCTCCATTGTTACCCAACGACGCTAACTAGACCTAAGAAAACAGCTGACGAACGCAGCGTTGGGCACACTTGGCGGTTACAGCCACACTAATCCTACAGTGGGTCGGAATTTCAAACTCTCAAAGCAAAATAAACTTCTCACCTGTGCGGACGCAGGTCCGCGGACGTATCGTTTTCGTTTTTCGCGCCTCGCGCTTCATTTCTTTGCCGGGCGTTTTGATACAAAAACATCAACGACCATTAACGATTGAATGAAATTGTGGGTCGAAGTTCACAACGAAATGACATTTGTAGCATGGATGTTTTGATGTGAAAGTGCTTGCAAATATTAAGGAATTTTGGCCAAAGGAATTGCGCAAAAAATACGCACATAAATTATATATAATATCGAAACCTACGCAGATACTGCAGCAGACCCAAAGAGAAAAGTGTAAACAGCTGTGTTTAACTCATTAAAATATATTGTTTATATTATTTGGATGCTAAAAAACGCTGCAAAGAGGCCAAGAAAAAAATATATACAAAAGAAAGTGTGTGTTTGTGCAAAACGCCTTCGCCCCCCGGCAGAAAAGGGCGTGTGGTGGTGTTCTCTGTATAACGAAATGATGAAAGATCCTTCAGTACCTCACCTAATTGTGTTTTTATTAAAAGTATTTCATAAAAAGTCATAGAAAAGTTGATGCAAAGTGGAACATAATTTCATGAAAAAAGGATAAGGTCTCTTAGTCATCACTGGCAGCGACGCAGGCTGCGCAGTCGGCGACGCATCCTGTGCGTCTGGATGTGTGTGTGTGTGTGTGTGTGTACGCCTCTCTCTCTCTCCCTTTATTACTCTCTATATTTATAACGTGCTGCCGGTTTTTGCACAACAACAACAAACAAGAACACCCAAAACAACAACAACAGAAACAACAACTTGTTTGACCCTTCCCCTTGCGACCCTTTCAAGTAAACAGGATGGAGCGAAAATTCACACGCGGCTTGAATAAGCTCGGCTCGGCGGTGCAAATGCGAGAGAACGTGTCCCAGTTGGTGCGTGAGAGCGCTGTTTTGGTAAGTTTACAAAAATGCTGTTTTTTTTACAAAAAAGTTGTTGTTGTTGTTTCCATTTTCCACCCCACCCCATGAGGGTGTTTCTTTTTCTTTTTTCACAATTTTTATTTTTGGTTTGCCAGCAGAACTGCAGTTATTTTCGTAAGTCTGTGTATTCATGTGGGTGTGCCTCCCATCCAGCATTGCATGACACCTTTGTGTTTTGTTTACCTTTGACATCAAAAGTGTAGGCATTAAACAAATACAAATTATATAGTATTAGTCTCAATGCTAATGGTTGTCAGTTTTTTCCTATTTTTTCATTCAAAAGAATTTCCCACTCTACAAGACAGACATTATATCCCATTGCAACACAAATATAGTAATATACGATAGGCGTTAAAATATTAGAACCATTTTTAAAGAATACTTATATATTAGAAAAAATTTAAAACAAAATATAAATACTAGATATCAACTATGTATTAATTATTTTTGTATTATTTGTATCTTCTTTTTATTCTTTAAAAACTGTAATAGTGACCTTATCTGTTTATAAAACATGCTTCCTATTTTCCTGGCACACACCCAACATTTTCTGAATTTTAATAATATTTTCTTTTCACTTAGCACATATCATCATTGAGATCATAATGTTTTATAAGGAAAAGTATTTCATTCGTCAGGCGTTGCATAAGAAATAAAACATTTTTAGGAGTGGGAAGACTTGTTCTTATGTTTCTACCATGTTTTTGTTGTTGTTGTTGAGAAGATGGAGATGGAGCCTCTCCTGAGAGATAACGAGAAGAATTCTCAAGAGAGAGAAGAATCTGTCAAGGCCGTGAGACTTGAAAAATTCCACCGCAGCTTCCACTTTTGTTTATATTCATGTTGAACGATAATGAGTTTTGGCGCAGAACGTGAGAGCACAGTGTTGATTCCCTAAGGTGGCCATTCAAGCCATTAGTTTGACCTCAGAGGGGAATTTCTTCTTGTTTTTTTCAGTCGTAAAATTATTTTTATTACCTTTAAAACATGAGAAATTTTAGAAATACATAGTTGGTTTTTTGGGTCAAAGATTTATTTTGAAATTTTAATGTTTTTGGATATATTTTAGAAGTGTTTGGAGTAGTGGGATATTATCAGAAAAATGTACATCATTTTACCCAGTTTATCAGTTGTTGTTTTTCAGACTTTTTATCTTTTCAGAAATTATATTTTTTTGTAAACAAGTTCCTCTGTAAATATGTAAACATTTGAAACAAGTCTGAGCTCAGAGTGTGACTTCATGGCTTATGGTTTTTTTTTTTTTTTTTTTTTTGGCACCCACGTTATTCTAGGGGCCTGTTGTAGTCCCTATCTTCCTTCATTGATGGAAACCCACTAATTGCATTATTGTAGACCAATGAAAATCATATTAGAGCGACATTAGCCATGCTTCCAATGTCAATTAGAGTGTGTGGTTCTCGGTACCAGCACCACCCACCCACTCCACTGAGGCATCACCCCCCTTTCTCTTTCACCGATTTTTTATCCACTGGCCCACCACCAATCCACCTACTTCTTCCGTAATTCAATTAGTGCGTAAAGTGAGAGTCGAAGCCAAAATGATAGGCAATTGTTGACTTACAGCAGCAATCAGCCGGCAGACAGGCAATCAAGCCATAATAAGCTGTTGATAGATAGATAGAAATATAGACAGTTAGATAAATAAATAAGCAATAAAATGAAGAGTGGTTCGGCGGTTGAGTGGGTTGCAGTGGGTCATCATCTTCCACTATCCAGTTGTCATGGCGGTTTGCACATCCAAAATGCCACTAATATGCCTCGGTCCAAAATTTCTCCTCCTCTGCAACGTTTGTAATTAAGTATTTCGTTGTTACCGCGATGTTTTAATGTAGTTCATAGGGTCAAAGCATAAAGTTCACGACAAAAGCCCTTACTCAATCATAATTTGTTGTTAATTTTTATGACTAGCGGTCCCTTTCGGTTTGTTTGTTAAAATACTTGTTAACTTGTTGCCGACCACATGTGCCTCAGCTGGTTATCCGATATCCGAGTAAATATTAAGTGTGTGGTTTGCATTAAAAGAAATCATGGGACTTGAGGGAAGAACCTAGAAAGGGGAGGCCTGGGCTAGAAGCTGAAATGGAATTTTTCAACGTCAGCGAATTGTGACTTGATTACGAGAGAAAATATTTAAGGAAACAATATATTATACAATAAAATTATATATAAAACGAGCGACTGGAACTTCACCTGCAAGTTGTTACTAATTTCTGACTAACTGGTATTCAAGGCCCTTGAAATAACTAATTAATATAAAGCTATGGAAAGTATGCAACCTTGACTTGTAGCTTTATAGTATTTTCGTTGCATCTGAAAACTTTTTCACACAGTTTCCTGAATGTGAATTCCAGATGATTTATGAGAATGAATTTGCTTTTTTTATTCTCAGTTCAATTCAAGATTTCCAAGGCAGCTTCTACCTTTTAAGCCGTGACCTCATCTTTCAATTATGTTGAGCTTCTATGTACCTATTTGTACATAAGGTTCCTTATAAGTCGCAATATAAACCCAGATTCCGATCAGACAATAAAATAAACTGTAGTAGAGATGTGTCAAAATCTCTGTTGGAGTCCATAGACCCAATTTTGTTGAACTTTAATTGCTTGATTAATTAGATTAGGTATACCTTACAAATAAGCATTTTGTCTAATGGTTTATAATTTTTATTTAATGTGTCATAGCCCTGAAACTTTTGGGGTATTTCCTCTAATTAATGTCATTTTTATTGCTTTTGAAAGCTTCACGTGGAGACTTCCAAAAGGGGGTGAAGTAGGAAATGGAGTTGGTTAAATGGTCATGGCTCAAGTGCTTTTTCTACAGACCTCACCCTGTAATTTATAAATATTTTTTGTAGAAGACAGGTGGTTAATATTGGTGAAATTTAGTTTATTTAAATGTCAATACATGTATCATCCCAGCAAAAAGAAAGTGGCTTATAGACACTTTCAAATGTATAGATTTGTTTATATAATATTATTATATATATTCATTAATTTGCATTAGAATTTATTAAAATATTTGCATTTCTCTATTGTTATTTTTTTTAAATAAAACTCCATTCCACAGCATCATCTATTCGAACCTTTTAATTAATTCTTACCTCAATGTGATTTGTTTTGATGGCTTTGTTTTATTTGTTGCGCTTTTTTATGTGTTTCGGCCTGCTCTTTTTGCGCATCCCCCTTTTTTTGTTTATTTTCCGTGCTCCGTGCTTCCATTTCTATATTGTGTCTCGGTCATAGTATTATTTTTTCCAACCCACTCCCCGCCGGAAGTATCGTAGTTCCCGTTCCCGACTTTTGTTTTCTGTTTGAGCTTTTCCCTCCCAGTTGACACGAGACTGTCTGGGCTGTTCTGTTCCGATCCTGTTTGTTCGGCGTGCTTCACATATCATGGTCATCTAACCATATCTCACATCCGATCAACCTTTGGCTATTAATAACAGAGCTTCTGAAACTGACCCAAACATTTCCCTGCTCTCTTTTTGTGTCATTTTAGATGAACTGTTCTAGTCGTTCGCAGCGCAGTGTCTCCATTGCGGTAATAAAATATTACAAATAATATTATTTTCAAAATTATTAATAATTTAAGTTGGTTGGTTCTATTATCAAGACTGGGAAATAATAAAAAAAATAGTTATAATATCTGGAGCAATGTCAGTAACTTGTTATATGCGTGACACAACAATAACTTTGGCCGGTGACCTCAATGTGTCCTCCTTGATTTTCTTCCATTTTCCGAGTCAGGCAGCGACAAACTTTTATCGATTCCTTGATCTGACCTTGACTGGCTTGGCTTTCCCCCACTTTTCCTCTCATCTCCTTGGGGCTCCTTTTTTGGGAGGCCTGTTCTACAACATGATATTAATTTTAATATGTCATGAGGATTTTAATTTGATTTTTTTTTTAAGATAAACTTTCTTTTATGCACATTTTCTCGACCGGACTAACTAGGAAGAGGCTCTGCTCGCCAAGCAATTAAAAACGCAATGAACGGCGACGATGATGCTAACTTTTTATGTTTATTGGTGCGACAGTCGTGTAAATATTGACATTGAAATCGTGCTGCTACCAGAACCAAAACCTGTACCTCCTACCTGTAGCTGGTACCTGAAACTGAACACCAAACACCGATAGCCGATCACGAACCTCTACATCAAAAAACTAACGTCAAGCCATCAAACTGGTCCCCTAGTGAGAATGAGTCGCATTTTCCAGTTTTCCCTCCGATCGGCAGGTGCAATCAACCAAATGGCTGAACACTTCTATGTGAAGCTTGACTCATGGACGTCACTCCCCATATGCATTTCTCTGCCAATGAGTTGCAAATTACCATCGATAAGAGCTATAATTTAAGCCATAGCTTTAATAATTCTAGTCTAACTGTAGGGGAAACCTATGGGTATCTAGTATACACTTTCAATTTTTTTTACGCTTGGTAGATTCATTAAATTAAATTGTTTAAAATTCGTTCTCGTTTGCCCGGCAAACCCACAACCCTCAAAATAAATAAATAAATTAAGTTCTACCGGTATAAATCATTGTGCCGGTGGCTATGTTTAAATTCGTCTATTTTATTGTTCTCAATTATGTGATAAACCGAGAATTTCGCAGTATTTTATTTATGGCCAGAGCTGTGCTGAAATCATGACCAAAATAAACAACCTCAATTCCTGGCCAATTGATGGCATTTTAATCTACCAGTTGAAGCTGCAGATTTTTATGCACTGATAAATTACAAACTGAACACAAAAAGTACAAAAACCTGTGAATGAAATAAATGGCAAACGATTGGAAAGGTATTTTGCCAAAAGAACAGAAAACTAAATGCCAAATCGAGTACTGATCATGGATGGTTTGTGAAATACGTAAGAGAAACTCTGGACAGGTAAAGTGAAAGGTGTAAAGCATTGAAGAGATTTTCAGTTTTGGTTTCGGTGTAAGCTTAACAAT